TATTTCTTTCAAAGAGAGAGAGAAAGATTGAGACAGACTGAAGGAGAGAGAGAGAGGCAAAGGGACAGAAAGAACAGAGAACAGCAGATGTTTGGTGTCTTGTTGACTGAAGAAACAAAAGTAGCTTTGACTCACTTTCTGTGTGTCACACTGACTCAGTGCTGTGAGACTGGCTGTGTTCCAGGCATTTGGTTGTGGGACTCCTATCTTGCCCTGGAACTTTGAAAATGATCCCAGGTAAGGCTGACAAAACAGCTGTGCAAGCGTGGTGTGTTGTTATCTGTAGCAAGTCCAAGTCTGGCATGTGTTTTTAAAACAACCAGGTCTGCAAGTTGCTTTGCAAAAAGGTAATATTTGAAAGTCAATGACATTTACTTTGAAAATACTTTTAAAATGGGAAATGTGTTATAAACATAAACATCTATTAAAAATGGGGGAGAGGATGTTGATAAAAACTCGTTCAGTAAAAATAAAAAATCCCCAATATTTAGAGACTCCTAGTTGAACAGAAGAAATCAGATTTGTTACCTGGTAACATCTAACAAAAGTTCCAGACTGGAGGGTAAAAATTTGACTTTGAGATAAGTTGCTGAGAGCTAGGGGCTTCATTGAATCCCCTTGCTTTGGAATTGACTACAAATGATTGCTGTTTCCCTGGCTTGAAAGCAGGTCAGATCCCAGTATGCTTTACTCCATTTAAATTCCAGCCACATGGATATGAGAAAACCATAGAATTGGCATCTACCCTTGCTGAAGGTTCATTTATCTGCACACTGTTTTGTCTACTCATATTACAAAGAAAGTTTAGTTTATGCAAATCATGAACAATTTTTATATTTCAGCCATCCCCACCAATCTATATTACTAATTACCTGCCATTAACATATTTTTTTAAGTTCAGGTGTTGTGAGAAATTTCCTATGAAAGCATTTATAAAGTAATGGATTATGTTTGACAAATGTCTAAAATGTGAAAATGTGGCTAGATCAAACTTGAAAAGACCTTTAGGGAAAAAATGAGTGAAAATCTTTACTTTTTCAGATCAAGAAACTGAGTCTCCTAGTAACATACCTGTCTAGTGACAATCAAATGGAAAGAGTCTTAGAGTAACAAAGTGTAAAAGGTCTTAATTCCATTGAGCCTTTGTTTCTCATCCCTAGAACTGGGAAAATAATATGAGCTCTTCTTGACTGACAGCAGGGTTTGGGGGATCAAATGAGACAGTGGGAGTTCAAGTGTTAGAAAATTCTAACCCACACTAATAAAGTAAAGCATTGCTTTATGGTAAAACCAGGTCTAGAATCCAGGTGTTGAATCTCATTCTCCAGCACTGTGCTGCCTGATCTGGGAAGTCCTGCTCATAGTTATTTTGTGGACAACTTAGGCATAGACATGCCAAATAATTCCGCCGGTAGTCTGCAGTCCCATAAACCTAGAAATCCTCCAATTTACAGATATTTTTCTTTTTTCTTGACTCAGGGCTCAGCAACAGAGGTAACAGTCAAAACAAGAATTTAATATTTTTAGCTAAAAGGTGCCAGATGGGCAATAACTCCTTTCAAGGGGAAAATTCAAGTCTGAGTGTTCGCTCACACTTCAAACACACTGCTTTTTTCCATGATCACCCTGCTACCCCACAAAAAGCACTTAGATGACGACAACGAAAAAGCTCCAATGCTGCTAAGAATAAGTTATGCTAAGCAAAAGTGGCTAACAGTAATGCAAGGCCACCTAATGAGCTACATCTGATGACAGGCTCATAAGCTGTTTCAAGTAATAAATGGTTTTTATTAATAGGAATTCAGGGAAGTGCAATTATTTTCAAACTCCTAAACTACGAAGTGGTCAGACTTTTGTTATACATACAGTCTAGTCTGTGGCTCTGTTTGATTCTTTATTTTGAAACATATGATACGCACTTTTTCCTGCTGCAGTTTCTGAGGACTGATGTTTGCCAATTAAAAATCTGTATAGTTCAACTATACAGAGAAATGACCACCTTAACTTTGGAAGATCAAAGTGCATTTTAAGGTAAAATATTAACAGTACATATATTCTAATTAGAGGCATGAACGATATTCATTTACTATGTTTACCTAAAAAAACTGTTTCAGTGCTGATTCTGGGTAAGATGGTGTAAGAACTTTCTACTCTGTCTCTTCTACTGAATACAATTGAAATTTCTAAATATGATGCATGCAGAAGCCCTCTGAGGACTCTGAAAAATAATAATAGCAGTTGGATTAGAGAAGGAAACCATAATTTGAAGTACCACTGAGCTGGAGGGGAGCTTCCCATTTCATTTTCCTTCTGGTGGTTCCCAGGCTGGACTCAAAAGAAACATGAGGTCACTGTGTGAAGACAGAAAGAGTGCCAAGGGAAGGCATCAGTGCCTAGTCTCAAGAGTGAGAAAGGAAGCTCTGATGGGTCAGAGAGAGTGAAGAAAACCTCCTATACTTTTGTTTCATCCATTCTCCTCTGTTTTAGCCCCAGGCATACTCATGGCAGTGGGGCAGCAATGGCATCAAGAGTTGAGCTGGCACCCAAAACTCGAAGACATGTGACCCCTTCTCTCTGTCCAGAGGAACTGTGGTCACAAATGTGTGGAGAGAATCTTTATTGCTTTTTTTTCTCTTTCCATACTCTCATCACTTGGTCTCAAAGGCACTCACAGTTATTAAGAGTAGGCCACAGAGTGGGAAAAAGAAAACCCTGGTTTCCTAGCCAGAGGGCAGCGAAGTGGGGCTTCTAAGACATGAAAACTCACTGAGGTGGTTGAGAGGAAGCATAACACACCACATCAAGTGGGGTTATCCTAGGAATGTAAGGCAGTTTAATGTTCAAATATTAATTAAAAGATTAGAGAATAAAAAGCAGATGTAACAACAACAAAAAAAACGCTTTCTGCTTTTCACCACTAAGTATGATTTTGGCTGTAGGTTTGTCATATATGACCTTTATTATGTTGAAGTATGCTTCCTCAATACCCACTTTGTTGAGAGTTTTTACCACAAATGAATGTTGAATTTTGTCAAAAGCTTTTCCTGCATCTATTGACACGTCAATATGATTTTTATTCTTCAATTTCTTAATGTGGTGTATTGTACCAATTGATTTGCAGATACTAAATCATCCCTGCATGCCTGGAGTAGATCCCATTTAATTTATAGTGAATGATTCTTTTAATGTACTAATGAATTCAATTTGGTAATATTTTGTTGAGGATTCTTACATCTATGCTTATCAGTGATAGTGGCTTGTCATTTTTTTTTGTGATCCCTTTAATATTGGAGTGATGTTGCCTTGTAGAATAAGTTCAGAAATTTTCCTTCCTCTGCAATTTTTTGGAATGGTTTCAGAGGATTGGTCTTAACTCATCTTTAAATGTACTAGAGAATTTACCTGTGAAGCTGTATGGTCTTGGGACTTTTGTTTGCTGGGAATTTTTTTTTTTAATTTCTGATTCAATTTCATTACTGGTAATCAGTCTGTTTCAGATTTTTTCCTGATTTAGTCTTGGGAGATTGTACATTTCTAGGAATTTATCCATTTCTTCCAGGTTGTCCATTTTATTGGTATATAACTGTTTGTAGTGATCTCTCAAATCCTTCGTATTTCTGTGGTGTCAGTTTTAACTCCTCTTTCATTCCTGATTTTCCTTGGGCCCTCTCTCTTTCTTTCTTGTTGAATCTGGCAAAAGGTTTATTAATTTTGTTTGTCTCTTCAAAATCCAGCTCTTAGTTTTATTGATCTTTTCTATAGTTTTCATCTCTGTTTAATTCATATCCACTCTGAATTTATTATTTATTTCCCTCTACTGATTTAGGGTTTTGTTTATTCTTTTTCTAGTTCCTTATTTACGTGTCAGCTTACATTGTTTATTTGAGTTTTTTCTTATTTCCTGAGGTAGGCTTGTATCACCATAAACATTTCTCTTAGAACTGTTTTTGCTGTGTTCTATAGATTTAAAATCACTGTGTTTCCGGTTTGCTTTGTCTCCAGGTATATTTTGATTTCTCCTTTGATTTCTTGAGTGAGCCATTGGTTGTTCAGTAGCATATTGTTTAGCCTCCACATGTTTGTAATTTTTGCAGTTTTTTCTCTTGTGGTTGATTTCTAGTCTCACACCTTTCTGGTTAGAAGAGATGCTTGATATGATTTCAATCTTCTTAAATTTATTGAGCTTTATTTTGTGGCCTAGTATGTGAACTATCCTGGAGCATGTCCTATGTGCACTTGAAAAGAATGTGTATTCTGTTGCTTTTGGATGGAATGTCCTAAAGATATCGACTAAGTTTATTTGGCCATATTTAAGGTCAGTATTTATTTGTTGATTTTCTCTCTTGATAATCTGTCCGTTGAAGTAAGTGAAGGGTTAAAGCCCCTTACTGTTATATATTACTGTCAACTCTCCCTTTATGTTTGTTATTATTTGTTTCATGTATTTAGGTGCTCCTATGTTGGGTACATATATATTTACAATTATATCTTCACATTGGATTAATCCTTTATCATGTAATGTTCTTTTTTTCCTTGTTACAGTCTTTGTTTTAGTCTATTTTGTCTGATATAAATATTGCTAACCCAGATTTATTTTTGGTTTCATTTGCATGAATACATCTTGCCATCATCTCACGGTTTGTGTATGTCTTTACAGCTGAAATGAGTCTCTCTTAAAGGCAGCAAATATGTGAATCTTGTTTTTTATGTCTTCAGCTACTCTGTGTCTTTCGATTGAAACATTTAGCCTATGTACACTTCAAGTAATCATTGATAGAAATGTACAGATCGCTATTTTATTATTTGCTTTAGGGTTGTTTTTGTAGTTCTTTTCCCTTCCTTTCTTCTTCTTTTGCTCTCTTCCCATGTGATTTGATGCCTATCTTTAGTGTTATGTTTGGATTTCTTTCTCTTTTTTTCTGTGCTTCTGTTATAATTTTCTGGTTTGTGGTTACCATGAAGTTCATATATAGCCATATATATATATATATGGTTATTTTTTAAATATGGACTATTTCACGAATTTACATCATGCTTACATAGGGGCCATGCTAATCTTCTCTGTATCATTCCAATTTTTGTCTATGTGCTGCCAAAGTAACCACAACACCGCGTAATTTTAAAGAATAAAAATCAAAAAGCTAATAGAAAAGAATAAAAGTTGTGTCACTCATTCTAAGATGTTGTATACATCCCATGGTGTATAACTGAAATCATCCCATGGTTTCTATAATTGAAATCTCCTCTATCTTCCTATGGATTAAGATTTCTAGAATATCAATTAAGGATTATGAAAACAAATTATCTAATCCTCTGTTAAGGTATCAATATATCTATGTTAATGCTATCCATTATTGACAATTTCATTTAGTATGCAAACACAATTATCCCTTCTAATTTTTTTTTTTAAGAGGAATAGTAGAAAGTCATACTCTATGGCATTGTGTTACAGGAAAATCCAGAAGTTATCTTCTTTGCACCAGTATATTTATAAAAATTGAGAAAAAATTTATAGTAAGAAGATTTGAGCTTTCTTTAACTTATTTTGACTCCCATGGAAACCAGATAAGAAGGAAAGATCAGAGGTATAATATATACCATATTTTTATAATTGTTGCTTAAGGAGAACACGGTTTGAATCTCAAATGAGTAATCTTCAATGTTCTTTGAGATCTGGGGAAATCAACCAATACTTAAATTTGCAACTTCCATGTATTATTATGGTAATCTTTTTGATGTGTAAATTTGGCTAACCCCTGGTTATTCTTTCTAGCACTATTCTAGGTGTTGCTGTGAAGTTTTTTGTAGATGTGATTAAAACTTATAATCAGTTGACTTTGAAAATGGAGATTATTTTAGATACATTGAGTAGGCCTGATTCAATCATCTAAAAAGAGTTAAAAGCAGAGCAGAGGCTTTCATAACAAGAAATTCTGTGGACAGCAGCTTTATTTACTCTGTGCATGCGAGTTCCAGCCTGTCCTTCCTGATGGCCTGCCCTGTAAGTTTCAGACATTCTTAGCCAGCCCTTCAAATGGTGTAAGCCAGTTCTCTGCAATAAATCTCTTAATTTATATTTCCTACTGATTCTGCTTCTTTGATTTACACAATTACCTGGAATATAATTCCAAACACAACATTAACCAATGAAATGAATGTTAAGATTACTAAATTGTGTTTCCTAGCCTTCATGAAAATACTATTACTTCTTAAAAATTGATTAAACTCAGATTACATTTCATTGTTAGAAGGTATCCTCTCTGTTTTGTGAATATTTATTATAGCTACAGTCTAATTTTTCCTGGGTCAGCTTCAATAATTTTGTTAGCCTACGGAATCTTACTTGTTTTCACATATAGTACTTCTGATATTTATATGAAAGTGTGTGTATTATTAACACAAGTGTGTATATTAATTTAAACAATAAGACTAACTTTATTGACAACCCATAGTTATTAAATACATATGATGGAAATTTTGTTTGAAAATAGCAATATAGAAACTAAGTATTTTGCTATCTTTCAAAAGCAAAATGAGACACCTTACCACTATCTCCAAACCCAGCATACAGCCAGAGGTCTCACAGGATGCTGACTTTAGTTTACAAGGTCCAAGAAGAATTTGACAAGAAATACTTTCGAGGTTTCTTTGGAATTTCTTTCATTTTTGTTTATGAAAGAGTCACAGTCATGCCCTAGAGCCTACGGTGTTACAATGGTAATATTACTCAACCAAACCAAATCTAACTCTTTACTAAGCATTTAACAATGGATAATAGAGCAATCTAGTGAGGTTTTCACTTCTATTATTTCAAGGTTGTTTCCAATTTTAAATTAACCTCGTTTTAAACAGTATATTTGCTTAAGTTTTTTAGTTATTTAGTTTTTCTTTCTTCTTTCTTCCTTTCTCTTTCTTTCTTCCTTTCTCTCTCTCTCTTTCTTTCTTTCTTTCTTTCTTTCTTTCTTTCTTTCTTTCTTTCTTTCTTTCTTTTCCTTCCTTCCTTCCTTCCTTCCTTCCTTCCTTCCTTCCTTCCTTTCTTTCTTCTTTCTTTCTTTTTTTAACTTTTCACCATAAGTGCATTTCCAAAGTCACATCTTGGCTAACAGCCTGTCAATGGTAACTTTTTTTTTCATATTTGTAGCACATGCACGGTTCAGAAGGATAAACCCAATCTTCACTGATGAGGGGAGGATGACAGCAAGTTTTCTGATTCACTGATTTCTTTTCCCCATTTTCTCAGTATTTTATGATGCAAGCCAAACACAGTTCATCCTACCTTAACCCCTATGGGCCATATTTCTGATTTCGTGTAGTGATGATATTTGATCAGGATTTTGAGCTCTAGAGTTTTCATTACAGAGCTAAAAAACAGTCTTGAAATCAATGCTGGAGGAACTGGGTGAGTGGTACGAATAAATCATGTGGTGATAAACTGATAAATGCACACCACTGAATATAAAGAATTTAATATTAAGGTATTGTGGCTGGATTTTCAAATTCTTCTGCTGGGATATTATCAATACTGCTATAAGCTATTTTTCAAAATAAGAGCCACCATTTTATTAACATTAGTAACTGTGTACTTGAATTGTGTGCTTCAAGGCACTAGCTGATTGCCTTTGGGGCCCAGAGGGATACTGTTACCTAAACTGGGAAGATAAAATTCATTAATAGCATAGTGGGCTTTATTACCCAACTCTGAAGCTTGAGGGATTTCAAGTATAGCCAGAAGCAGAATATTCAAGTGAATTTAACAGATTCAGTGGGATAAATTTGATCTTGCTATTAGGGACAACTGACTTTAATGTACACTTCTTTTTTCTTTTTTTATTATGTCTTCAGTTTGCAGAAACAGGACAGTAGTGGGGAGACCTATAAAATATATTTTCCAAGGAAGTCCAAGAACTTCTTTTAAAAATTTAATTAGCTTATCTTCCATGCAATCTTCAGCTATTAAAGTCTTTTAAAACAACTTTTCAATTGTAAGGGTGAGATGAAACTGGCAAGAGTCAAAATCCATTTTCCCCTGGTCCTCTATTTATATCTAAATTATTTCAGACAGTAGATGTATTCTTTTATTTTGGAACACATGAGCTCTTTGCAAATATTTATTTTTCAGTAAAATGGCAGAGAAAAACAGTAGTGTCAAGGAGTTTATTGAAAGTTAGACATCTCTTGCCAGTAAGGAAGGGTGTCCCAGAGGAGTTTGGCTTGAATTATTACAGTTTCTTCTTTCAGTATAGTGATCACAAATGTATGCCACAGTGTATCAGACTGTGTATTTTAGATATAGGGGCAGATAAAAATCTTTGGAAAACTGGAGAATAATTTTTTCCTTATTGATATTCAAATCAAAATGAAGAACTATCTATGAAGACTTTCATTTCCAAGTAAGATGAAATAATTTGCAGGAGGCTAACATTCTCAATGTGAACACCAAGGAAACCAGATAAATTATAAAAATCATGTTCTTAAGGATATCAGAGAGATCTGAAAATTATAGGGACTAAACTTTCAGAGAAAATACTCAGAAAAATATTCAAAGGTGAGCTGAGAGTTTTCAGCTGTCTTTTCTTAGGAGCATGTGATAATTCTGAGTGCGATCTAGAGCTTGAGAATCTTGGCTTCCTTTAGAGAGGAAACCAATGAGAAAGGAAAAATAAGCCAATAGAGCTTTTAGCAGTCATCCAGGGCTGGAGACTTAAATTGCCTCAAACATATGACCAGTTTCTCCCATAAGGGCACAACTTAATTTATAGGTGGGCAAAGTAAACAGTTAAAGAAGCAAGTTAGAAATTGTATTGAATGTTTTATTGAATACTGTACTTTTACTGAATAGTGAAGTCTCTCTGCTAGAGGAAAGTGGTGAACTGATACTGACATTCTAGTATTAGTTTTCTTTCTGGTAATATTTCCTTATTCTGAATACAATTAGAGATACAGAATTCAGGCTTGGTCCCTGGTAGAGAGTTTTCGGGAAACCAAGAGACAAACAAGAGTTTTGTCAAACACAAAGACAGACCTCCTCATAATAATTATTCAAAAGCTGCACGGGACAAAACTAAGCTGAAGATTCCTGAAAAGTAGAGCAGAAATTCCAACAATCTTTCCACAGGAGAGAGTAAAAATGTTTTCCAGGCTCTCAATTAAGAGGTCTTGGTGGATGTACCCTAAGAATAAAGACAAAGTAGAGATAGATTGAATCTTGATAAAAATCAAATGTAGTTTTGACCTGGTCTTATTTCTGATTGGATTAAAGTGAACATTCATCTATTTCATTTCCTAGAACTCTTCTGTGGAAAGAAGGGTGGAAAAATGGCATCTATACTATGAACCTTTATCATTTTTTTAATGTACAGTGTTCATATTTATATAAAAACCCTTTAAGCGTAAAAAAGATAAAACCACATGGTCAGTAACCAAGAGGAAAAACAGTCAATAGAATCAGACTTTCAGGTGATCCTGATATTGAGATCAGATGTCAATAACTATGACTAATATATTCAAGAAATAATAGGAAATACGGAAAATTGGTAACATATGAAGAAGTTCAATATACTATAAAAATAAAATGAATATCATAGAAACAAAAACACAATATCTGAAAATTAAAAAAAACAATGAATTGTTTTCACAGAAGTTTAGACAAAGTAGAAGACAGGCCTATAGGAAATATCTAGTCTGAAGCACAGAACAACAAAAAAGAGCTTAACAGACATAAGGGACTATGTCAAGAAGTCTAACATACATGTTAATGGAAAAAAGAAAGAGATACTTTTAAAGAAATGTTAGCTGAGATTTTTTAAAACCAGATGAATATCTTCAACACATAGATAAAAGCTCAGCCAACCACAAGCAAGATTTAAAAACTATGAATATTACAGTCAAGTTGCAGATCCCTAAAGACCAAGAGAAAGTGTCACATGTGACAATCAATTAAAAAGACATTATTTCCAAAAGAACAAAAATAAGACTAACTTCTCATTAGAAATAAAGGAAGTGGAAATAAACTAGTTAATATTGTTATAGGTTAAAATAGTTGTAAATTTAGAATCCTATCCTAATAAAAATATTCTTCAAAAACAAACATGGGGGGAGGGTATAG